TTCTTTTTTGTTTTCCCTTTTTTTTTTTTTTTTTTTTTTTTTTTTTTTTGAAGTAGACCCAGTCCAGGCAAATGGGGGAAAAAAAAATCCTGAGCTTCATAAGAAAGATCTGAATACAGAATATGAATGGCAGTAGTGTAGAAGATCTCTCAGCAGAGTGAACTATGCCTTTGTATGCGCAATGGGTTGGATGGATCCTCTCATTTCATATTTACTGTTAAACACAGCAGTAATTGAACTTTTTGGCAAGGATTCTGTTACCTGCTTTCCTGAGGACTGGTGCCTTTTCCTCTTCAATCCCTGCCTCGACGGAGGGAGCTGAGGCACATTTTGAAAATTCAGGATAGTGGAGAATCAAGTGGTTTGTTTTCCTTATGGTGAATGGTGCATCTCTGCTGTATGCAATATTGTTGTAGCATTAAGATGCACAAACCCTATACCACCTAGTCCCTAGCTAGGAGGCAACCATTTCTTGTGTTGAGTCATGGCCTGCAAAGTCAGTGTTTAGTTACCTTAGGGCAGACTGGAGCAGTGGCTATTGCTCTTGTTGTACAGTGTAAGGTTGTTTGCTGCAAAGCCCTGTTGCTACCTTTTATTCAGAGTTTTGCTGAGTGATTTGCCTGTGGGAGATTACTTTGTCTGGAAATACCATGAGTAATGATTGATTGCTTCACAAAGGAGGAGGAGGAGGTAGTCATCAGTTAGTTGATCTCCAGGCAATTTCCTTAGCAGCATTACATTGTTATGCATACAAACAAGATACCTTTACTCTTGCTTTAGTTGACAAACCTCTTAACTTGCATATTGTATGCAATGCAGATGCCACTGGTGGCAAATGCCACCATTACATTGGTGCTTGAGCTAGGATTCAGGGAGCTTTCCAGAAGCAAAAGTTTAGCATCCTGGTATGAGATGTAATAGCACTTTCAGACATGCATCCAACTATTTCTTTGTAGGCGCACATTTTCCTGGCCAATTAGCATGATACATTCCAGTTCCCATCCACTGACTGAATGACTGCGTGTCTACAGAAGTCTGAAATTCAAAGAACTCTTAGGCCAGCATGAATTTTGCACAGATGATTTCACAAATCTGAGAGCAGCAGCTCCCACATTTTACTAAACTTCTTATCTGCTTTGGAATTTCATCTAGGGATCAGTCATAGGGGAGGCTGTTATGAAAGGCTGTTATGCAGAGAAAATGAAAAATCTTAACTAACCCTTGGTAAACCTGCTAACAGACTTTTCACATCACAGAAAGAGAAACAAAGACATCCGAAGGTTAAATGACTTAATCAACATTCATTAATGCAGCAGATACAGCTACAAAGTGTATAGTTTAGGATTTCTAAGGTGCCTCTGCTCACAGTGTTTTGGTGGTAATGGCGTTGCAGCTGGGCATACACTGTAGTGAGTATGTACTGTACCTATAAAGCCTCACTGGGAGGTTCATGATGTGAGCACTGAAGAAAAGCATAGGAAGGATTTTCCTGCATTGTTTCTTGCACTGGCTTGGATGCTGGGGACATCATCAGTATTCAAAGAGATGCAAAGCCTTTACCTTGTCTGATAGATCTGCTGTTAGAACATCTTGTCCTAGCATATGAATGCCTCTGTAGTCTTTAAGTCACTACTTATGCTTTGTCTTTTTTATTTTTCTTACTTAAAAATCAGTATGCAAACCTCTACATAGAATTATGCTTTGCTAATATTCTCTGAACTTTGTTTCAGGACGTAAGTGGATGTGTGTATGTGTGAGTACGTGCGTAGTTAAGCATGAAAAAGGCCTATGCAGAGCTTTCTTCAGTTGATCTGAATTCTCAATCTCACCTTTAGTTTCTACCCTGCTTTCCTGAGAATTGCAGTGGGAGAGAGATAAGCTATACCACATGGTCAACAGGCTTAAGTTCTTACAAAGAAAAGGTTTCGGAAGTCAGTCATCTATAAATGAAAATAGCCTGTTTCCATTGCTTCATTTACACTGTGCTCTGTGGGTTGTTAGCCAATGTTTTCTAGATTTGAGCACCACAGATGGCTTCAGCTGCCACCTGGAGAGCAGCGGTGCTTGAGTATTTGTCATTCGAGTCACTGCGAACATTATGGAAAGACCAAATTTAACTGCACCCTGCAAGAATTTGGTAGCCCACTGGCTGGGGTTATTAAAAGATGCGAAAGCCTATCAAGAAACATTGCTTGATTAATAGAAATCACCTTGTACATTAGTTGTGCCTTTTCCCCAAACTAAAGTAGTTACTCTTCATTCTGAATGTGAAAAGTCATAGCCTGTGTAGCAAAACATGGGCCAAATCCATGAAATGAAGACAGATATCTCTGATTTCATATCCCCAGTCTCCAAACTCAAGATCTGTTTCATTTAAACTAAGGCTAATTTAATGAACAGAACTAACAAATAGCTTTAATAGCTGGAAAGACGTTACTTTAACTGAAAAACGTGAAATGGATGGGGTATAGTAGCCTGCAGAGTACTCTTGGAAGGGCTGGTAAGGCTTGTTCCTAGGAACAATTATTTTCTAGCACCTCTTTTGATCCTTTTGTTTTCTCTTTGCTATATCAACTGATTTCATTTGTTTTCTCACATCACTTCCCTCTCTGAAGACCTTTCTGGTTGCAAGGGAGTGACCTTCTTGACACTTATTTCCAATTTGGCCTTCTAAAACCGCGGTGAAGGCTGCGGTGTGGTCTTTGAGACCAAATCCTCCAAAGAAGCTGAGAAGATTAGTATGCATTTGGTTAGCTTTAGACAGAGAAAAGCTGAACTGAATTGATGAGAAGTAAAAGCCCAGCTGGATGACAGCAGGTAAGTCATTTTAGATTGTCTGAAGATTTGGATCCGGACTTCTGTGAGAGCATCAGGAATGACATTTTGGCTGTCTAGACAATAAAATTCCCCCAGGCTTAATTAAAGCCAGGAATTAAATGTATTTCTGCTCATGAAACATATAGGTACCTCTTCAATTGCTTTGCTTTTTGACAGCATTTCTAGCAGAACTTTGGATATAAGATCCCGTGCTACGTACTTGGTTTGATTTTGGGCCAGTCTGCTGCTTCTATCCTGTGGTCTTCATACTTCTTGCCCGAATAGGCAAACAGGTAGCGGCTGATTTCTGCTCGTCCTCGCAGATTGAAGTATGTCAGCTTGTACTGTGGCATGCTGGATCCCTGAGAGGAAAGACACGAGGTTGCTTTAGATATGAGTAACTCAACTCCTTTTTACAAAAGCGCACCATGTGCTTCTTTTTGAAAGACATGCTTGTACAATGCAAGGGACATACATACTGCACTAAGCCATGATGTGTTGTACTTTGCAATCATTGTTCTGCATTTGTCAGCCACAATATTCAGACATGGACAATGACAGTTAAACCTGCAGTTCCTCCTTGTGTATCTCCAGAAAGATGGCTTGATTTTTTCCATCATATTTAGAACTTTCACCTTTCATTTATTTTTCCTGTAACTCCAAACTCAGGTCATTTTTATGAAATGTTTTTCACAGTGCAAATCTAAAATCATGTACTGTAACAGAAGATAGTTGCTGTCTTGAGCAGCAATTTTATTCAAGCCTGCCCTGCTCAGTCTCTGCTGCTTATGGAGACCTTCACCCAAGACCAAATCATGAGAATTGCCAAACTGTTGTGATTTTTCTCATTGACTATTACCCTAGTTGTGTAAGTAATCGACCCAAGTTATTTTAGAAGGAAAACTTGCTATGGAAACCAGTCTGCGCTGTTGTTTTGAGAAAATCATCAGCAAATTCTCAGTTTCTTGTACAGAAGTCAAAAGAAAACTTGAAATGACTTTGTTCGGTTTTCATGTGGTTTTTTTCCTTCAGTTCTAGTTAGAAATCATGTAATAGGAAGGCTCTATTTGTCGGTGTAACAGGCAACAAAAGAAAATACTCGTGAATTTGTACAACAAGGATGGTGCAGGATAGATGACCAACTAAAGCCACTTTAAACCAAAAGTAAGCTTTTACACTCTGCACACATAGCACCTTAATAAAAGAGATCTATGAGCTCAGATGAGATTTAAATGTACTGGTTAAAGGAAAATAAAACAATCTTCCACCTCCTCACCCAAAGCAAAACCCATTCTCATTCTGGCCTTAAAGTAGACCTTGCATGTCATTTAGCATTCTTTTATATCAATCAGATTCAGAGCATTACTAATAAAGCTCATCTGCACTAGGAAAGAAAGGGAACTTTTTTTTTTTTGTGAGTAAGTGCTACTACAAAACCTTGCAATAAAAACAGCCCCCTATTTAGTCATTTTGCCTTTGAAAACATATGCTTGAGGGCAGATGTATCATCAGCTTTCACTTTAGAGGGAGAGGCTCTTTGTTCAGACACTGGGAAAGATTGCACTTAACTCACGCTGAAAAGAGCAAACTACCTTTGCCACTTTCTCCTCAAAAGTCAAAACATCTATTTTCTGTCCTCAGAGTAGCAAAGGCAAAAAAAAAAAAAATCACAGCAAATGAGCACACTGGCTGCTGCTTAATTCATCGTGAAAGTTCCCTGTTCCCCTGCAGCACACAACAGGGTCAGAAGAGATTATTAATAAATGGAGATTTTTCACAGGTGATGGCCGAGAAGCAGGAGCAGAGACGGAGAGTTACCAATGGAGATATCTACAAGTGCTTCAAAACAAAGACACCACTACAATTATATTTTAAGTCAAGCAAGTGTGTTCCTTTGGACTGTATAAAAGAGGGAAGCTGCAGGCAAAATGAGTTACATTAGGATGTGATTAGTTTTCTAGATGTGTTAATTACCAGAAAATATATTTGTCTGCAGCTCACAGATTACAGGTGTAACTGTTTCTTTCTCTAAGGAGAGAAATTTTGACAATTCCAAATTTTTCAAGCATGTTTTAGGTAAGTGGCAAAACTTTGCTCCTCTATTTTCAAATTTTGTGCCCAGATTTGTTACTTAATATGGTTTATTGTGCTTATATAATAATACTATATATTATTATACTTTATTATTTATTTATGCAGGATGAGTTTGGATTATATGTCTCCAAAGTTAATGTAAGGAGAGAGGATGAGACTTAATCATTTGGGAGTAAAAGGGGAAAAAATCCCCACTTGATTCTTACTTTCCAATTTTTATAGAGGCAAGCGAATACTACTGATTCAGTCTGCATTTGGAGAGTATCCAACCTTTAACGTGCAAAACCCACAGTGTCTACTTCCCTTCTTTAGGGGTGTCCGCAGAGCTTTTTTCATAAACGGCAATAGAAGTTGCAGTGCCCTGGACTTACTACACTGCTCACACGTGGCTCCAGTATCTCAGCTACCTCTAGCCCGCTTAGCCCTGTGTTAGCAGAAAGTTGTCGACAGCCGGAAGGCATTTTAAAGCAGAAGAACAGAAAATTTTAACATACAGTCATGAGGAAGGCAGTAGACAGCTATATATAGAGCGGACTGAAGATGAGTGAAGCGTAACTTTTCTGGTGGCGAGTGTTTTGAAAGAGTCTAATTCTTACTGTGGGAGAACTTTATATACAAAGACATGTATAATCAGGAGTAATGAGGTGATGTAAAGAAAAGGGAATTTTGGCTGAAGATCAGGAAGTCTTTCTGGCTGTTGTAGTAGACTGGGGAATATTTTGGTCTGTCAAGGAAGCAGTGGAAACTATTGTTTGAAAGGTCTAAAGCAAAGCTAAACAAATTTGTAAAGAATACACCATAAGGAGTAATCAAATATTTGCAGTGCTGATGCACGTTTAAGCTTTTGATTTTTTTTTCCATCTGTGAAGAAAAAAACCCAACCCTACAAGGAGTTTGCCAAAAATACTTGACATTTTAAAGACCTCTATAACCTTACTGTAAGCATGTTTTGTAAATGTTTGTAGGTTTTATTTTTTATTTGTATTCATTGTGAAATGTCAGGAGTAGTGCTTCCCAAACAATTACAGATACATTTCTAAATGAAAGAAATGGTTGTGTTCGAAATATCTTTTTGCCAAACATACAAAGTAAGTTGTTGTTTTTTTCCTTATGCTCTGTTACCTCTTTTTCCCAGTGTGTTTTGTAAAGGAATGGATCATGAGGAACAAATTAAAACCATTAAAAAAATGTCCAGAATTACTAAATGACTGAAAAATGTCACGTCTAGGGGTAAAAGGTCTAAACTGGGTCTTTGAGTTTGTGCTTTTTTTTGGGGGGGAGGGGGGTGATGGTGCAGGGGAATCTTACAACTATTTAAAATTATTTCTCTTTTTTTAGATTTAGTCATGGCCTAAAAATATTGGAAGATGTTGGTGGGTGTAGGACCCTAGTGCCCAGACTTGCAAACATTTAGTTACCTGCTTAGTACCATTAAATCTGTTTGGGTGAGTTTGTTCAAAATCCAAGTGCAAATAAATGCAGGAGGGGGCTGATTTACCTTCCACCAAAAAATATGCCATCTAAGCAGTGTTTTTAAAATTTCTAAAGCGATGAATACATGTCTGGGACCCACCCATACACCTGCCCTGCCCTACATTGATAGAGCCCGCGGAAACCTCAGCCCCAGTTTTATTGTATACAACTTTCAAAGCAGTGAACTGAACTAGTCTAAATTTATTAAATTAGCTTTAGTACTTTAAAGTTGTTGACCCACTTAGCTGATTTTCTAGCTTTCCTCTGCGGCTTTCTTAAAGTCAGCTTAACTGGCTTTAACATACCTTTAAACAGAAGATTAGTGGATCTTGTGATTAAATTCAACTTTTGGAGCTGCTTAGTGACAAAATGAAACAGAAAATCTGAGAGAAGGTCAAATATGTGTAAAAGGTGGCATTCTCCACGTTACTAATGAGTCAAAATTCAGGTTGAAGTGACAAGTGTCTCAGACATCTTAGGACAGATTTCAAATAATTTAAGACTCTTCGTGTCTTTATGGAGATACTGCATTACCTGATGAATTTGGGATGCTTTTATTCCAGTTGAAGCAGGACCAAGCAATCAATTTGAAAACTTCAAGCAAGATGAGAGTGAAAAAACAGAGCCCAGGAAGGAATCAGCATCATTCCCTGAGAACTAAAACACTGAATTTCAGATAGCACTAGTACAGAAGAGAAAAAGCACTGGCAGACTGGAAGCTGTATGAACATACTGGGAAGATACAGAAGCAAACAGTCCCGGTGTCTGCAAGGTGTGCAATACTTTTGCTTTTACTGGATGACAGTGTATGTGTCTCTCCTTTGTTTTAAAGGGTGAATCACAAGCGCACCACCTGCATTTCGCCTGCTCAAGATGAGTTTCTGGTGCGTGCCCAGAGCAACCCAGAGCAGGCTGCCTCTGCCAGCCAGTGCACAGTCCTGCACGCCCAGCCTGAGCCTTTGCCCTGTGAAAGTAAACACCAAAACTCTGCTGGACTTTCTAGAGGAACAGCGTTTCATCTCTGTTTTGGAAAAATCCAGCCCTCAAAGTAATACAAGGAAATACTTCTCAGGATAGTAACAGACACAAAAGCCTGGATGCAGATACTCAGTATGTGAATTCAGAAAACAGAAAGGGAAACAAAAGGCAGCACTTTATTTCATTTTCTTGGATAGGGTTATTAATAATTCAGGTGACAGGCAGCAGAGAGCTTTTTTCTGAGCTGGGGGCAGAGAGGGAGAAACCAGCTAAGTTGAGCTATTTGTTCACAGCCATCTGAAATCTGACACAGGATCTCATGGTGCAAAGTCCCACTTAATTGTACTTCGCACTGTGAGAAATTAAGGGTTTTCTTGCTTTAAGGTTTCATCATTGTTAGAGGATTTAAAAAAGCCCCACTCTTCCCTCCAGCAAGCAAGACCAGTAGGGTTGGGTTAAGGTTCATCTGGGTATTTCTAAAAATCTGGGACTCAAACTGTCTGCCTGGAAGAGACGATGCATTGCACTATATGTATATTTTTTTAACATGAGGGTTCTTCCTTAATTTAGGAGTCACTTACGGAAAGCACCACAGCTAGCACCTGACACAATGCTGCCCCGGCCATGGGCCTGCCAAAAAGGGGAAGCTGGAGGTCTTGGCTGCCTGGTGCCATCGTCCTTCCTTGAATTGCAACCAGACCAAGACTTGGTCCTTGAGGGAGCTCCGTTTCATTTCACTGTGCAAATACAACTTAGGGCTGCCTCTGTGAACTCAGGGCCTGTCACTGGCCTCCGGGAATGCAGGCTGGAC